CTTTGTTTACAAATCTTATCAAAGAAATAAGATCAGATTTCCATCAAAAACTTTTACCATATACACCCTGTAAATAATATACACGCGATCGATACCGCTAGACGACACGAATGTTGACAATATCCTTCGTCACTATTTCTCACGCAGTGAGCATTGTATTTTACACATGATAAAGTAACAGAGTGTAATATCAAAGAAACCTGGTGATATTTGACGCGATATCTAGATGTTCATTTTCAGAGAGTGGTATATTGACACTCGGCCACAACACGCCAACAACAAGTTTGGTAGAGAGCTACACCTGTCGAGGTATCCGCCTCTTCACTGTGCTACTATCGGGTGCTATTACAGGTAAATCGGAACTGGTTTTGTAATGAGTATTGGTGTCAGAAACATGTACTGTAACATTACAGGCTTTGTAATCGTAAAGATTACCATACGAATGCCAATATTTCATTTTCAACCCGATAAAATGATAACAGGCGTGACATATGGTATGCTTGAAATGTTTGTATATATTGAAATAGATATTAAACAAGCTTTCTAATCATTGTTGGAAATATGACAGCCATTTACTATTGAATCAGGCTATTTGATATATTTATTTTAAATGTATAAAGAACAAAAAAATCATGAATAATACAAATAATTCTAGTGATTTTTTTATAAAAAGCTTGTAAATGTCATTTTAATAACATAAGTCATACGCATGCATATTCCGAAGGTGGTTTTGTTATGTTGCTTTTAACTGCATTTTCTTTTTCACATTTACCACAAATCAGTAAGGTGACCTCATAGATCATGAATATGGAAATTTTTCCTGTTATATACAATGGATCATAACAAACATAATATTTATAAGGTAATTTATTTAAGGGGCATTTTCCTGTGCCGGCAGCAGGTGCGCGTTCTATTAATTCAACAGACGTGCCAGATAGTGTAAATAACACTGTACCTCCATTATTCCCTCTCTAAATCTTCCCTGTACGATAAGTGTGGAACATATTTTATTGTGACAAATTCTAGTAAAAGTGTTATTTTTCACTTGTAAAATAATTTATATCAAGACTTGGTCGACACACGCTTGACATAGGCATTACTACCGCTATAGAAAACGGACACAGGTAAAATAGCTGGATTTACTCCCCGCGTGAAATATTGTATAATACAGGGCCAAGATTAAATAGCTGCCGTAAATTTAAACTCATAAAATATTTGGTGTTCTAAATCATCAGTTTGAGGGCCATTGATAAAGGCGTATAGTGGTTGTGATCATGCTATATATTTTACTGTGATCGTTTTAAACCTTTCCTATGGATGATATTAGATAATAAATTCCCAGGCTTAACACTCCTCCTGCTATATTTTTACTTTAATGGCCAAACAAAGGTTAATATCTCAAAATTCCCATCCATTCTGCCATGTACATAAAGGATCTCAGTCACAGGTAGGCGTCGGTTCGGGAAGCCAGGCTCAAGTATGTCGACTACTCGAGACCGCTGTTTGATGTGCTGCAGTGAATCAAGTCCGGCAACATCTCGTGTTCTATATACCGCTGCACATCAAAAGTTCCCTTATACAAATATTCACATTAAATTTTTTTCGTTCTAACACAGACCTTTGCAAAGAAAATCCTAATAAGTGTTCTAAAGATGCAAAACTAAAGCTTTCAAATCCTAACTAGGTACAAAGTTGATGTTTTTATGTAATTAGAATGACAGTGAACTAACTTAATACAATGTTTGTGTTTTTATGTACTGAAAAGACTTCTTTTTTATATTAATGACAGTGAACTAACTTTATACAATGTTTGTGTTTTTATGTACTGAAAAGACTTCTTTTTTTATATTAATGACAGTTAACTAACTTAATACAATGTTTGTGTATTTATGTACTGAAAAGACTTCTTTTTTATATTAATGACAGTTAACTAACTTAATACAATGTTTGTGTTTTTATGTACTGAAAAGACGTCTTTTTTTATATTAATGACAGTTAAATAACTTAATACAATGTTTGTGTTTTTATGTACTGAAAAGACTTCTTTTTTTATATTAATGACAGTTAACTAACTTAATACAATGTTTGTGTTTTTATGTACGTGAAACGACTTCTTTTTTATATTAATGACAGTGAACTAACTTAATACAATATATGTGTTTTTATGTACGTGAAACGACTTCTTTTTTATATTAATGACAGTGAACTAACTTAATACAATGTTTGTGTTTTTATGTACGTGAAACGACTTCTTTTTTATATTAATGACAGTGAACTAACTTAATACAATATATGTGTTTTTATGTACGTGAAACGACTTCTTTTTTATATTAATGACAGTGAACTAACTTAATACAATATTTGTGTTTTCATGTACATGAAACGACTTCTTTTTTATATTAATGACAGTGAACTAACTTAATACAATATATGTGTTTTTATGTACATGAAACGACTTCTTTTTTATATTAATGACAGTTAACAAGTTCAATACAATGTTTGTGTCTTTATATAAGTAGAACAACAATGAAATAACTAGATACAATGTTTGTGTTTTTATGTAATTAGAATGACAGTTAACTATCTAGGTACACTATTTGTATTTAAATATAAGTAAAATAACAGTAAAATAACTAGATACAATGTTTGAACTTTTCTATAGTTAGAGTGACACTTCACTAACCATGTGCAGTGTCAGTGTTCTCATGTAAGGCTGATTGACTGATACTTAATCCCAAACCAGACTAGAAAACTAGAATCAGTGATATAAATCTCAAACAAAAAAAAAACCTTCAGCGGAATATGTGAATTAGTAACAAATAATATCAGCAACTATTCATTGTGCATTTATCAAATTTCCAGTGCATAGTTTGGGCACAATACTTCATTTACCTTCAGAAGTGATGTGTGATTATCTTAAAAACATTATGGTAGTTTTTGCTGAACCAAATAAAATGTTTATGTGATGTGATAGGATGTTCCGTGCGATGTTCTTCACTGATAATGAATGATATTATCGTCTTTAATACTACAGGTGTTTGTCATTGTCGACAATTTACAATCTACCTTACCGTTTCTGAATTTGTGGTTATATATATACCAGACAGACAAGATAATACCTGTTCATGTTGCTTTACTTTTTCATTGTATCTAGATCTTAAGACTATGGATTAAGAAAAATTAATCTCTCAGTAACCTGTACAAATGTCGATTTCTAAACCGTTAGACGATCGATTTATCAACAAATAGCAGTATTTTTGGGTTTTTTTATGGGCAAAAAACACTGCTCGATTGATTTTTTACAAGCAACATTTAAACTTGTATTCTAAAAATACATACAGGTACAGATAGTGGACATCTGCGTTAGACCGAGTATACCCATCTAAGTGCAGTGTTAAAAGCTAGTAACAAGTCTACGTGTTTGTATTAGAAACGCATTATCTCGTAGTTATGTTTGAGTTGCTGTCAGTGCTTTGGTGAAAAGAAACATTAACAAAAACGTTATTCTAGGAAACAATTATAATTTTTTATATCAACTTGATTTATTTTGAAGTTTGACTGAGCGCATATGTTGTTAATAAGATTTCAAGGTGAAGTGATCACCTGAACTGGTAATTTTATTTTATTTATTGTTTTCGTGAATAGCTTTCATTCCAAAAATTGTTTCCCTTTTTAGTTCGTATTGTTTTTGCATTTCTTAATAAGCACCGAATACTTTATCCCACTTAGAAATTGTTAAATTTATGGAAATAGTTTATATAGTGTTTACGTGTCGCAGTATTTACAATGCCAATTACAGTATTTACACAAAGGGAATTAAGACCCAGTATCCCATACCCTATTTGTACATGGTTACTCGTACCTGTATCCATACTGCCAATAATAGCATTACACGTACGAAATTAAAAGAAAATATATGAATTATTTTTAGTACAGGTTTAAGTTGTAAGTACCAGATTTCACTCAATCATCTGTGAATATTTTACTGTTTTGTAGTAAATCATTACATTTATAGCAACCACAAACAAAATGAAATGTTTGGTACTTTAATTTGTACATGTGTAGTGTTATATGCTTACCTGAAACAGCAGTCGTGTGAATCCTTACAGTCGAAATAAGAGATTGTTGAAATAATAGCAAAGGAATATATATAGCCGGTAAATATCGTAAAAGTTATCACAGTGGTTTACCACAGGAAGATGTTGATGGTCGGTATCATCGATACAAATTCTCAGAAATAAAGCTGTCAACCTAAGGGTTTATATCATTTCTGAATTGTGTTGGAAATTTGTCATCGATAAATATTAAAGATAAAAAAAAAGGTTAAGATTTTTAATGTCTGGAAAAGATTGTCGTCTTCAGATGGGAGTTAACGTGTTTATACATGAATATTCTATTTCAATCTGATGTCTGGTCAAATTATATCATGTTTTAATATTAGAAACATTGCGCAAGAAACATGTAGCGGGTATATATTTGCTAAATATGATTGTCGATAATAACATGTGCAATATGAAAATCGCAAATTATCTAGATACTTGATAAATATTACAAATAAAACTCGAAGGAATTGTTAATGTCTAATATAAATTATAATATATGGTATATATGATATATCTACATCCTTGTGAAGTGCTAGAAATTAGAGATGAACGGTAAGAAATTTTAACGGTTGTCCCATGAGAATTTGAGGAAGTCTTGTTTTCAATTACACAACGAACTACACTAAAATTAAGTGTTAAATTATATTTATATGAATGTGAAAGCAGCAATGTCTCGTGCGCTAACTACTTTACTTTAAATAAGACTATTTATAGAAAGACAACATTTTCAGTTCTCAATAAATTGGTGGTATTAGTCACTGTATTACAAGTTATACCTCAGGATAAGTCGTATCCATACCTGTGATTTTATCATTTCTCTAAATATGTGTCCCTAACAGTCAGTAACACGAGTTTATCATCAGGTGTCGGTGTTGACAAGAACGATAAAGATTTGAATAGTTTTAGGTAATATTTTAATAAAATAAGATTTTTCTGTATCAAACATACAAACAATTATTCAACACTTTGCCATTCTGTTCACGTTTCACACACCTCATCCTCACATCGACTATCACCCCGGTGTTGTAGCACTCACTTGATAGATGTTATACTCTCCAGCATCCAATTTAATTGGCACATCAACAGTGTAACGAGTCATAATCCATTAATCAGGACATAGAATTCAATTTCTGTTTTGAATAAATTATATATATATATATATATGTCTCAAATGTATGAGAATAAATACTGTGTGAAATAACCGGGACGATACATCCTAATTAACTAAAATTTGAACAATGATTTCTAATATTTTTACTGGTCCCCCAAACAAGTGTTATTATTTTGTTATGACAGCACTTTTAAGTAAATTGACACACAATATTCCAAATAGAGACACTAATCCATTCACGCCAATCATTTTCACATATGGAAACGTTCTGCATAATGAGCATTGTCAAGTTTAACATGGACTTCGTGTATATATCCAGGATTTCCTCGGGAAAAAAATCACATTAAGTTCCGTGAAATATTAAGGGAATTTAAGGAACGGCTGCCGCTCCTAATCTTTGGCCATATAGAGCATACGGTGAATAGTAAGGTCCGAGACTGGGGAGGGGTTGTCCTGGAGGCAGGGCCCCGGGAGCACCTGGTATATGAGATTTATATGGATGGTATCTGCTTGCCCCTAAAAGTCCACTCACTGGACTTAGACTAGTAGGGTACGACCTTCGGAGGGAGTTAGGACTTATACTCCCAGGGGCAGTCAAGTGTCCATGCAAACCGGTCAGTCCCCCGAGACCACTGAGACTGCCGTATGCCGCGGCCAAGGAGGAAGTGTCTGTGGCCGTGGTATGTGTCCTCAAATGTTGTAATAGTTCTTCTGATGTGCCATAACGTTTACCACAATATTCGTTGCCTGCCGATACCCAGTTACAAACAAATGGTAGTCCTTGGTGGGCACTCATAGCACTGTGAGGGTACAGAGAAGAAATTGAGGGGAAAGACGTCAATCCGGCAGCACTAGATGATAGGGCACTGGCTGCGGAAAACCCTGGAAGTACGGACAGTGACGCGCTTGGAGGGAGGCCTCCCAGTGCCCCCAGCCCACTGAGACTCTGGAGGGACTTCTCGTGGGCACACTGGGAACATCCAGGAGCATTACAAGTTGATGATAGATGGGATGTTTGCAATGTCAGTTGGCAGTTGGAGCAGTAAGGGTCTCGACATACGGGTACAAGGGTAGTGGCACCAGCCGGAGTTCTCACACGAGCATATGTTACATAAGGCGACATAGCTGACGCCGCCGACGCGTGTTTTAAAGAGGCAGCACTTTGAGCTGCTGCCACTGCGGCAGCGTTGGCAGCGGCGGCGTATCCGTGAGCCGTCAAGGAAGACGGGTAGCCCATGGCTGATGCCGCAGAATCGACGGGTAGTCCATGAGGAGACATCAGTTGGTAACCTGGGTACGTTGGTCCGAATGGCGGGTACCCTCCATAGCTGGCAGCTGAAGGGTGGCTGGAGGGTTTGTAGGACACGTGATCAGGGGACGGGCGACTGCCGGGTTTAGGGGCAGATGCTGACGTGGTTAAATTTTCTCGACTGTCCGTCTCCTTGTGAGAACTTGTGCTCGTCCGCGTAGAACTAACAACACTGGTCGTTGTCGATGATGTCAATGATGCCGGGAGTGACCCCGGACGAGAAGACACAACCGATGTGCTCACATTTTCGTTAGATTTTGATTCACGAGAAACTGACGGAGACTTGGCTTTGTCACTAGACGCAGATATTGGAACTAGTGGAGGAATGTCTTTTGAGGGAATAGTCCTAAATCCAGGTTTGTCAACAGAATCACGACCTGTACCTTTACTACTGTTGGATTCGGGACGTTTGGTCTCCGGCGACTCCGACTTGTCGCGGGATTTCTCATTGTCTTTTTTACCCAAAGATGGTATGATAGGTTTCGATGGGGTAGGATCCTTTCCTATCGAACTGCATGTCTGAGCAAGTAATGCCAATGGACTCTTCTTAGCATCCAACTGTAAATTAAAATTATCATAATTAGTAATATGTACACTCTAGACTATCACTGGTTTACACCCAGCGACATACAGTGGTGTTAGTATGTGTATCCGTGGCTGACTGTTAAAGGGGCGGCAGGGACATAAACAGAAAGCTATTCAGGTATCAAAACTACACAGAATAGTGATCAGGGACAAAAGGACTCCGTATGTCTTACATATTGTTAATGTAACATTTTCTTTACTTTATAGGTTTTTTATTTAACAAATTGTCTGTTGATATTCATATCCAGATGATATTATTATGAAATACGTTGAAGGTTGAACCCTGATTACAATGTATACATACCGTGGTAGGTAAAGGCTGGAGGTAGTCTGGATGTAGATACTCATACTGAGAGTTGGAAGTTAACATTTTCACAAAATACTTCTAAATAAAATCCACGGGAAAATTTCAAAACACGTAATCCATCCGTGTAAAGTAGTGTTTCCAATGAGTTTCACATGTATAGTTTGAAGGCCGGCGTGTACTATGGCGGTGAGCAGTGTGTATCGTTGTAGTACTGTGGGAGATCTCTTACGACGCTACGGGCTCAGCTGCCAATCACTTTATGAACCCGAGAAACCGTATCACACTGACTTAATGAAACATACCGCCCCACAAGACATAATACAAAACGTCCGACAACACTTGCTTGTAAATTAATCAGAGATGAAAGAGCCTTGCCGCCTTCCAATGAAATAATAAATTACTACTGATAACCTGCTGCGATTGGTCGAGAGACGCCACATGACGTCAGCGACGATAAAAAGCACGAGATGATGGATTGCACGCACTGCACTTAACCAATCAACGTCAAGTTTATTAATTCCTCCAGGAGAAGCCGAGGGGAACCATTATGGCTAGGTATCAATCATTTTGATGGGTTAACTGTCAATGTTGACTGATTTATATCATTCCTGGCTGTTAATACATACAACGTCCCAGGCAAACGAGAGGGCGACGGATAAATAAAAACCCGCTCAAGTACTGCTACTTATAACACAATAATACATATTTGCTTTTACTCAGAGCTTCTTTGCATTTGTTAGCTATGATTTACCGCCCGTATTTCCTTGCCACTAAGTCCTAATTTTAAAAAGATCCTTTCCAAATGGTTTTGTTAAATTCTTTCAAAACCTAGGAAGCAAAGAATTCGCTGTGACATTAATGATTTTGAATGGCCCTGCGGCGGAGATCAAAGCAGAGGGCTATTATTACGTCGCTTATCAATCAATCTTTTACAAGTAGGGGTGTTTCAAAACAGATTGAAACTGGCGTGTTGAAAGACGTGGTATCTTCGGAAATGACAGTTTGGACATTTTATGACTGACTTCAAAGGTAAATGGAACAGATACCTATCAAGTACAATAAACACATCGTACAAAACAATGTGTAGAGGGACGAGGGAAATTATCATTATACCTATAGAACGCTCAAGGGCGCCAGTGTTGAAGCATGACAAAACCATATTATTATCATAAGTTTTTAAACCAGATAGAGTTCATACACAGATAAATGCCTTACCTTGAATCAGAAGGTAAAACTACCTCAAGACATATTTTCTTGTCAAGTATGCAAACATGAACTTTAACCAGCCTTTGTGAGCTGATGTTTACAAGATGTAAGAACAAAAGTCAGTGGATAGAAGTACTGACAGGGCAGAGATTGATCTTCGCTGTCGTAAACATGAACCAGCTTACTGATGCAGTCACACAGGACGCCCAAATTTTTTTTCAAAAACTGCGTCATCGGCTCGTATTTCATTGATCATATTTAGTGAACAATCGATCATACTAAACAATAGGTTGATAGGCAGTGTAAGTATGACAAATGTCTAGGATTAGTTTACAGACCTGTTAAGAATATCAATTATACCTAAAATAGCAAACGAGGGGTAACTTAGTGTGTTCATTACGATGTTTGAATTTAAATGTTTGAGGTAGTATAAGACAGTAAGACAAAAGGTAAGTACTCAAGTAAGGTGTTAGATAGGTCGGGGTGTCCGAACAAAATACCGACTACACTGCATTAGTCCCTAATTATTTCTGGATACACACTTATACTTCATTACGGTAAAGAATTGACGTAAAATGACCAAATTTCAGTGTGTGAAATGTCAACATTTTAATGGTACTGACTACAGCCAGTAAGATCGGTCGGTCAGACACATGCTTGTTCACGCCTGTTTAAGTGATATCAGTGTCTATCCAAGTTGACGTCTGTACGCTTGACGAGGTAAAAATATTATACGCTCAAAATTGGTCTCAATACAACACGCCACAGTGTGTAAATTTGATAGCATTGAGAAATGCGTTAATTGATATTTAAGAGTTGTTTTGTGTGGATCCCACAGGTGACGGGGGTCGAGTGGGACTTTTCAGATAAATATTAAACTTCAGGTTAAAAATACGAGCTTCTTTCATGCCTTTGTAAACCCTGTCAAGAATTGAAGCTCCGAGAATAAGAGAACACCCCAAGTTGGCGACAAGCTCAGTGCCTCTTATTGTACAGGTGATTATTAGGTTCGGATTTGCTCAGGTAAGTCCACGCCTCCTTTACAACAAAGCTAATACCTGTGTGCAGCCCGACTCCGCCCCCTGTATCTAATGGTCTGCCCCTTGTCTAACGAGATTGACACTCCAACAGCGACACGGCGAGATCAAACAGAATAATGGAATGTGTCAATCAAACGAAGACTCAGGTAAGCCGTGACTGACAGGTACGTTGTGTACCTGCGGGCGGCGATGACGGTTGTCGGATAGCTTTAATACCCGAAACTGTTTGCTCATGCACACCCCGTCAAAGGTGTAATTCTCCAGGTAATTCTACAAATAAATCACCCGGAGGTGCTGCTTACCTATGACCATTAGGAGATCACAAAGGCTGTTTGACGACCGAACATGACAAATTGTGCCTGGGTGTCACGCCAGGCACTCGCGGTGTGATGTTTGCTGTAGAACCACCCGCGTTTTGTCACATGTTAGCAAATTTGTATTGATTCTTTCACTAAAGTGGCACCTTTCTTCTGTTGCCGACAGCTCTACTATGGAAGTAGTCTAGTCTCCAGTTTACATAATATAATTGACAAGATCACATCTCTGGTAAAAAAATGATTTACAAATTATAACATTTTTAATAAAAGTTCTAATAACACAGTATATGATGTGTGTTATTAACATGTAGTGGAGTAGAACATGCTGAAGTGTCACATCGACATGTCGGTTGTCAACAAAACCCCAGGAAGTGCCTAAGCATTAAAAAAACTGAAGCTAGGTACTGTAGGTGTGTTCAAAATCATGTGATGCTATATATCAAACGTTACTCTGTGATGACAGGCGAGGTGGTTTCTTACACATTACGGTGACAGCAGACAAACAGCTGACAGAAAGGTCTAGTCGCTCAGTGAAACCTCTATATTCCTCAATCACCCCTGGGTAGAAAGGTGCGGACAGCTTCACTTCAACTACTTCCGGCTGTCTTTGGCCGTCATATTAGTTATTTATGCGGCAGATATGCTACTGATGGATGGACAGACAGAGTTCTGATGGATGAATGGTTGAAGAAATATGATGGATAGGGATCTATTCCTGTAGAACTTCCGGTTTCAAGCGCAAGTACTTGTTTAGTAGTAAAAGTTCTGTACAATCAATTATAACACCATCACGATATAATACAGATTACTGTACAGCTAACAACACCATCACGATATAATACAGATTACTGTACAGCTAACAACACCATCACGATATAATACAGATTACTGTACAGATAACAACATCACGATATAATACAGATTACTGTACAGCTAACAACACCATCACGATATAATACAGATTACTGTACAGCTAACAACACCATCACGATATCATACAGATTACTGTACAGCTAACAACACCATCACGATATAATACAGATTACCGTACAGATAACAACATCATCACGATATAATACAGATTACTGTATATATAACAACATCACGATATAATACAGATTACTGTACAGATAACAACATCACGATATAATACAGATTACTGTACAGCTAACAACACCATCACGATATAATACAGATTACTGTACAGATAACAACATCATCACGATATAATACAGATTACTGTATATATAACAACATCACGATATATTACAGATTACTGTACAGCTAACAACACCATCACGATATCATACAGATTACTGTACAGCTAACAACAACATCACGATATAATACAGATTACTGTACAGCTAACAACACCATCACGATATATTACAGATTACTGTACAGCTAACAACACCATCACGATATAATACAGATTACTGTACAGCTAACAACACCATCACGATATAATACAGATTACTGTATATATAACAACATCACGATATAATACAGATTACTGTACAGATAACAACATCATCACGATATCATACAGATTACTGTATATATAACAACATCACGATATAATACAGATTACTGTACAGATAACAACATCACGATATAATACAGATTACTGTACAGCTAACAACACCATCACGATATAATACAGATTACTGTACAGATAACAACATCATCACGATATAATACAGATTACTGTATATATAACAACATCACGATATATTACAGATTACTGTACAGCTAACAACACCATCACGATATCATACAGATTACTGTACAGATAACAACATCACGATATAATACAGATTACTGTACAGCTAACAACACCATCACGATATAATACAGATTACTGTACAGCTAACAACACCATCACGATATAATACAGATTACCGTACAGATAACAACATCATCACGATATAATACAGATTACTGTATATATAACAACATCACGATATAATACAGATTACTGTACAGATAACAACATCACGATATAATACAGATTACTGTATATATAACAACATCACGATATAATACAGATTACTGTACAGATAACATCATCACGATATAATACAGATTACTGTATATATAACAACACGATATAATACAGATTACTATATATATAAAACAACACGATATAATACAGATTACTGTACAGATAACAACAACATCACGATATTATACAGATTACTGTATATATAATACCAACATCACGATATTATACAGATTACTATACAGATAACAACACCATCACGATATAATACAGATTACTGTACAGATAACAACATCACGATATAATACAGATTACTGTACAGCTAACAACATCATCACTGTAAACAACATCATCACTGTATATTACAGATTACTGTATATATAACAACAACATCACGATATTATACAGATTACTGTATATATAACAACAACATCACGATATAATACAGATTACTGTATATATAACAACATCACGATATAATACAGATTACTGTACAGATAACAACAACACGATATAATACAGATTTCTGTATATATAACAACATCACGATATAATACAGATTACTGTACAGATAACATCATCACGATATAATACAGATTACTGTATATATAACAACACGATATAATACAGATTACTATATATATAAAACAACACGATATA